TATAGCACTCAATATCCGCGCGAGATAATTTCGGATTACTCTGAAGTAGGCGGAAGAGAGAAGAAGGAAGTGCCTACAACTGCATGACTGGGCCGCAACGTGGGGGACTAACCACTCTCCAGGCATCGATCCAGTCATTCATCTTCTCTGCCAATGAGATAGACAAAAAAGAGACGCAGGTTTTAGCGCGGAAGGAAATTAGGAGGGAGAGGATTACAGTTACACCCGCGATCGCCAAAAAGGAGCAAAAAGAGATTACAGTTGCGATTAGAATTTAGGCGCGGTTGGAGCAGAGCGCAGGATAGGACGCAGCAACGCGCACGCAAGTAAGGAGCATCGTGCAGTTACAACAACAAAAGTCCACAACAAATTACGATGCCCGCAATTCCTAACCCAATTACAATCCTAATATCCGTATTTCCCCGTATTTCAAAATTCAAAAAGACTTTAAATTTCCCGCGCGATGATCACGCCAAAGTTTCCTTCCCCACTTTTAGCATAACAAGAAAGAAGCTACGACAACCATTATTTCCGTGCTCGCTAAGGCGCGCTCCAACTACCAACCGCCATGGGACCAAGCTTTTCCGAAAAGACAGGGGCAAATGTGCAATTGGGTCGGCCTCTCCCATTCAACCCCCGAATACAATCTCGCAGGAAATCGTGTGTTTCAGAAAGTTCGTTACAACGCCACTTAGATTAAGGCTTCCTAGATCCATACTCAGACCCTGTAAGTCCAGTGTGCAGCCCATCCTTTTGTTTTACCCAATCCATACCCAAACCCAGTGTACCCAGTTATACCTTCCTTCACCCTAGAAGGGGTTACCTCTCCTGTTGCACCCCAACCTGAGTGTACACTTACTTTACCCCGTCCTTACCCAGGTTGCGCCTACCGGGCTTAGCATTTCTGTCTCCCCACCTGTCCGATACTTCTCGCCCTTTTCGTTATCCTTTCCCACTCCTCCCGTCCCACTCACATTGCCCTCCACTCCATCCAATCCCCGAACCTTTGTACCTGTTAAACCACCTTTACTTGGCCCAGTTATCAGGTCTGAGCCTCAGCCGACCGGTATGCCGAGCCTTGTCCAGGCTCGAACTACTGGGCGCTAACTTCCCAAACGTGCTTGGAGAAGAACACGGAATAAACAACAAAAAAAAAAAAACAGCAAAAAGCAACGACAAAAAACGGGATTTGAAAAGAAAAAAACGAAAAGAAAAGAAAAGAAAACGGGATTTACTCTAAAACACACGGAAAAACGGAAAAAAAAAACGGTTACTAAAGACACGCACGAAAGACAACAATCAAGGTTG